TTTCAATTAATGATTATCATCATCATCAAAATTTTAAGATGATCAACACGTCTAAATTTATTTTTAAATAAGCATATATAAATCAAAGTCAATGTTTATAACTTATTTTCTTTTTTTTTATAAATTAATATGAAATAATGAAGAAAAAGTTCAACTAACAGGCAGCAAAGAAATTCAGGCACTGTATGTGTTAAAGTCATGTTAAGTCCTAAGTCCTTTACATGACATAAATTTAATTTATATGGAAATTTTTGTACTTTAGAAGTTCAAATAACATAGAAAATAAATGAGAATTTTGTGTATCAGAAATAAAATTAAGTCTCATGTCAAAATTAAAACTAAAAATTAAAGAATTATAATCATAAATACTAAATGTTGTTTTTAAATTTTAATATCAGTGTAATAAATAATATATGTATATATTATTTAATTTGTTAAATGATAATAATAAATTAAATAATTGCTGTTAAATACTGTATTTTATGACATATAAAACACCCCCCATTTCAGCACTGAATATTTAGAGAAAAAGGATGTAGCATAACAAGGCAATAAGATTCTATAAATCACTGGTAGCATCACTAGTGTTATTAATATAGTTTTATTTTTAAAATGAAATCTAGGGCAATATTATTATACGGAATGATGCACAGACAGGAGGACATAAGAATATCTGGCAAACAGAGTAATTATGAATTTACAAGGTTTAGAAGAAAAGATAATCAACATTAAGGACTCAGACACCCTCCCTAATGCATCTAAATGATAAAGGGAGAGGACTGGGAGAGGAAACAAGACAGCAAAAAGCTGTGGATTTCTGCTCTTTTTGCTTTCTTCAGTTTAATTTATTATAATTGAGTTTAAATAGAAAATATTAAATGATTGTAAATGATAGAACTTTGAATTTTGTATTTTAATTTGAAAATGTTCAAATGTCCAATTCTAAAACTAACAGAAACAAATGTGTTCTGTGTTCTAAATTCTGTTTAAGTCTAACGTTTATCTTGCAAATATATATATATATATTTTGCTTTCATTTTAAATGAAAAGTTAGTAAAAAATTAAATCTATCTTAAATTTAAAATTAAAATCCCTGGTAACCATGAATATTGGTACATGAAATTTGGAGAATTTGTTAGCTTTTGGGAGATTGCTACATGTAAGATGCAGGGTAATTTTTTGTCTTTTTTTTTGGACAAAAGTTGTGTCTTATATGCCATAAAATACAGAACATATTTAAACATTTTTTTTAATGTATATGGAATGTATTTCTTTAAAAATAAAAAATATTCACAAAAATTCTATGCCAAGCATATTCTAATAATTTTCCATCAATTTTTCTATTACAAATTTTAAACGTTTAATCTATTAATTTGATAAACTTTATATATAGTATTTGGCAAATATATGACATTTTATAGTTTATTTGTATATGTTATAATGGCAAATAAGATTGCCAAATTACTTATATACAAAGTTATTAAGTTTTGATATTGCCATTCTACACTCTAAAATACAACTATTTCAACATTTCATATAAATTGAAATTTTAAATTTTCTTTCCTTATCTAGTTTTGTTCCTAATCAATAAACATTAACTGCTAACAAAATATTATTGTTCAACTTACTATATATATATATATATATATATATACCTTCCTGAATAGAAACTAAATTTTTTCTATTTTCAATGTTTTTAAATTAGCAATATAATGATTTTAATGAACAATCTGTTTTTAAAAATGATTACTTTATTTTTGTAAAATATATGATGTCCTTTAAATATCCAGCAAAACTTTGAGAATACATCACTAAGATCACCATCATCATATTAAAAAGATGAAAATATTACACATGGAAAATGTGTGTGAAAATGTTTTCATGGAATATTGTGATACTGCCATTCATTACAGCAAAATATTTTTTTAATCAGAAACCAATGTATGACTTTAATGTATCAGGTTGGTTTTGTTTATATATAATCAAAAACCTTTAATTAGATTGGCTTCAAAAAAAAAGAAAAAGATAATTATATACGGGTTACAAAAATTTGGATTCCATAAAAAGTATTCAAAGTGACCAAATGATAAACTTCTCTTGAAATTGTTAACAATTCTTTTTCTTTTCTTTCCTTTCTATGTTGAAAACACTTCTAGAAAAACTGGAAACAAATATACCAAACACATTAATCACCTTACACACTTTTTCAGAACTAGTTTAATCAATGATTAAACTAATGATTGTTTTAATGTGTTTTTAACCTGAAGCAAACCTCTGAATGGGGTCTAAAACATTTGTTTTGATTAAACTAGTGCTGTAAAAGTGTGTAAGGTGTAGTGTGATTGCTGTGTTGTGTTTGCCTAAATACATGGAGAAAACAAACCTTACACAAAAAAAAGAAACATCTTTAGATTCATGTTCATATGAAAGGTTTTCATTCTGTTAGTACAAAAAAAATGTATTCTTGAAGTTTTGTTGGACATTTCAATGATATCTTACATTAAAATTTTACACTTTAATGTGTTCATAAATTGCCAAATTGTTATAGTATATAATAAAGATCAGAAAAAGTCATGAGATTTTGCCAAAAATTGCCTCTTTTTTTAATTCATATATAAAAGATTCTTTTATTTTGCTTATATATAATAAATTATTCAATTCATTTAATCATTTTTATTTTCAGTATTAAATTCTTAAACTTTCTTATGAACTACTGTAATATTAAAATAAGACATCAATTATGATTTGTAATTGATAAAATATATTTTAATTTGTCAACTTTTATTGGCAATAAAGTTAGTATTTAAAAACTTTGATTTTTGAGCATATTTTATGATAGGAATCTTTTAGTTTAAACAGATTTTATTTTGAACCTGTCAAATAACTGATGTAAAGATATAAAAAACTTAATAAAAATAGATATTCTTTTTTCTAAATTAATAATTATTATTGCATAATTTTAAACAACAATCAAATTCTGATTTTATGTAATCTTGTAATAAAATACTACTATTTGGTATATAATGATAATCATTTATTACTAGTTTTAAATATAAAAGAATTTGTATTAATTTTATTGCTAAAGCTTAATGAATTCTTATTTTTTAAATTATACTTATATATGAATATATCTTTAATGTTCAAACTATAAAACAAATATGAAAAAGTCATATTTAACTTAATGATTTATTAAAATTTATATTAAGATAGAAATGAAAATAAAAGAATAGTTTTAAATTGAATTAAAACTATAAAATAAAAATAATTCCATCATAAAAATTTTATTAAAAAATAAATTTTTTGTTTACTATAATCTTAGATTTATCACTAAGGGCTGGTTGCATGAATTACCATTTAAACTACAGAATAACTATCTGTGGATAAATTTAACCTTGCCTCTAATCTAAACTTATTGCATGAGTTATTTTGACTTGACAGATAGCTATTGGCAGTTAGCAGAAAAATTCTTACTGCACAGTTGTGTTACCAAGAGCAAGAGTAAATGAGATGGAAGAGAGAAAAATGAGTAAACAAAAAGTGTGAAATTGATTGGTATAGATGAAAATATATATTAATAGATTTGGAAGATACTATTTTCAATATTTTAATGTATGTACTGTATAACAAGAAATGATTAATTATTATAAAGTTACGATTTATTTAATTCTGACAATTAATGTAAAACTGTAGCTTTTTAAATCAAAATTGATTCTTGAAACTTACACTTACTGTAAAATGTTTTAAGATCAATCTTTTCTAAAAATATTCTGCCAATATTGGGATAAACTTCATTTAAATAGTTTAAACAAATGTTATCCATATCAAAATCAGGGCTGATCAGGCATCTTGTCTTTTCATTAATCTACAGAATAAATTTTATACATACAAAACCAATCAATTAACTTTTCCAGCAATTTACTCCAAAGATTTAGACTTGTGCAATGCTTTGTGGGTAATCCTGTGGATTAAAGTGCATTTAATCTTGAGATTAAAACTCATGCAACCAACCTTAAAGGATACAAATGTATAAAAAGTGACATGTTAACTTCTAGCATGATTTACTAACAGCAGTAAAAATGCTTTTAAAACATTGATTGATATAGAATCCTAATCAATTTCATGAAAAACAAAATGATTCAAATGCATTTATATAAAATTTTTCATTTATCTAAGATGTAAACTATAAGAAGTTATTTGAAATTATAGAGCAATTTAAAATTAATTTTAATAATTAACAGTGAAACTCTTTTTATGAAATTGATTTGTATGAAAATAAATTATGATCTGAAAATGGCTATCTAAAATGCTTAAAGTTTATACAATTACCAAATTCATTTGTTATATTATTTCCAAAAAGCAATGATATACATGCTTAAGGACAATATATAATTTGGTAAAGAAACTACTAAAAAATTCTAATTCAATATTCATACAACCTTTTATTGAATGTGCAGTAAAGTGTATATATTTTAAACTAAGTAGTTAATAAAAAATTTTGAGAATTTTTTTTCAAATTAGATCATCATTCTGCTTCCTTATGTCAATAATTAAATCAACATTTTTTGCTATGTAAAACAATTCAATTATCACTTTAATAAGCTATAGATTTCTTAATTATAAATATCATCAAGTCAAAAATTTATTTAATGATGTTAACTATAAATAGTGAAATTTTTGTATTTTTCTATATATCTATGTAATATGTAACAAGTTGAAGTTTTATGGATAATTTTATATATGAGAGAGAAATTAAATATTAGCAAGCAAAAACTTACACAAGGATAACTAATGTATTAAATATTCACTAAAATAAATATTTTCTTTGTATTTTATATTGAAATAAAAAAATAACTTATTTACTTAAAAAATTATTAAATTAAAATTTAAGTTTATAAATTTAGAATTAATTTTTCACATTGAAAATAATAAAATTTAATATAATTTTATTCTGCAATAGAATTAATAAAAATATATATTTAACATAAACTTATATTCTAGTATGTAATGTTTATTTTATAAATTAACCAATAATTTTTATATTATTTAAGATTCTTCATAGTTAACAGTATAACTTCTGTTTAGTTTTGTTAACTAATAAAATCTATCATAAAAATGTATATTTGAATCATATAATCAATGAGAAAGTTAGAATTAATATTAGAATATGTAGACATTAATTCTAACTCTATATTGATAACTGTATATCAGCATAATTAAATAAAGCTTCAACTTGTTTACAAGCTGTTTTTGCAGAACTGCTGACATATACTAATCCTGTAGATCCTGTTTCTGTTGCAATTGCTTTTGCTTTTTCTTGACAAATTTTAATACAGTTTTCTCCACTGTACTCCAATGAGAATACTGGTCCTAAAATACAATACATATATAAAAATTAATAAATCATATTTTTAAGTGCTTTTTATATTTTATAAATATGTATTTTATATGTATTCATTTTTAATATTAAATATGAATTATAAAGCTCAATTTAAGTGCAGCATATGCAGCTGACATTGTGTTGTTAGTGGCTTAAACATTTACAACAGTGGTTTTCAATAAAGGTGCTGCAATGATATTCAGGAATGCCATGAAATAGCATTGAGCAATACAATAACACTGCAATGATAACATGTATTACAAAATGATTTATTTTTATTACTTTTCATCACTTGATTTCAATTTGAGACAAACCATTCTTATTAAAACATAACTCCAATAATACACATTTTTTTCCTATTGCATTAATTGTATAGTAAATTATGTAAAAACTGTTGTTGTTAAATATGGTTAAATTCAATTAGGTATAAAAATAGCTACAATATAAACTTTATATATTTGTAACTTTTAATCCAAAATGGTTGTGGCTGTCTGTTTTATCTAAATTTTCAGTTATCTCAAGTAGCATCAGTCCACATTACCTTGGATAATTAGAGTTCTACTTACATAAATTATTTACTTAAGGCTAACTAAATCTATATATATAAAAATGAATGTATGCTGTCTGTCTGTCTCTATGTCCTTCATGCATTACCACACCATTTATCCGATTGCCATGAAACTTTGGGAAGTTGTTTAATATACTCTCATGAAGGTTTCTGGCATAGTACATTTATCCTACGATAGATGGCATGCGTTTATATGAACATATCACTGTGTGTTCGATCGATTTTAAATTGTGAAGACCATTTCCCCCCTGCAAAAAATATTTCTATATATGCATTTGTGAACTGTTATTTACGATATTTGTAATAATTTTTGTTTAATCACTTTATTTCAATTTTGTTTTGCTAATTATGTATTCGCTTGAACTTCGTTAAAACCTTAACTGTACCCCAAACAACTACCCGTGCTTCTCGCATGGACAACTGTATGTGGCCAGCTCATGCGTCGGAAAACCTTCTGATATATTTGTATACGCAACAGATGGAAAAACAAAAAATATCGTGTATCCACAAGCATTCCAATAAATAAATAGAATTGAAACAACACTTTGAAATGTTTTCCCGATGAAAATGAATAATAATAATAATAAATTTCAATAAAAATGATAAAATGTAAATTGAATTTTATCATAACGAGTTTGCTTGAATTTCCTTTCTTCTGAGATCGCAGCAATGCACGANTACCGATCTAGGTATCCCCCTTTTTCAAATTTTAATATTGACTCAAAATAATTTAAAAAGACAAATTACAATAAAACGGTTTATTATCCAACTATCAGAAATTTCACAACATGCCAAGGAAGAGAGGAAGGAGCAATTAAATAATTAAAATTATAAAGTATTAAAAAATATATATATATATAAATGGGGAATATCACACTTCTGACAATCGCTGCAACTGTGTGGGCTAAATTTGGAGAATCTCGCATGGACAACTGTATGTGGCCAGCTCATGCGTCGGAAAACCTTCTGATATATTTGTATACGCAACAGATGGAAAAACAAAAAATATCGTGTATCCACAAGCATTCCAATAAATAAATAGAATTGAAACAACACTTTGAAATGTTTTCCCGATGAAAATGAATAATAATAATAATAAATTTCAATAAAAATGATAAAATGTAAATTGAATTTTATCATAACGAGTTTGCTTGAATTTCCTTTCTTCTGAGATCGCAGCAATGCACGACGGGTAAGCTAGTATATAATAAAATACAATATTACTTAATTTATAAATTATATTTGTATGAAACTACAAAAGAATGAAAACAATTTTTAGTAGTTTTGTACAAATTTTAAAATAAAATTTGACCTGTAGATATTGCAACACCATGAAGGAATGCATGTAGCCACATGCAAATTGCAGGACCAGTAGAGATGAGAGATATGCAAATGATTAAGTTTGCATACACATCAGGTCAGGTGGTACCCAGTTTTGGGCTATAAAGACCCACAGCCAGCTTGGGACACAAATGCTAGCAGTGATGGTTCAATGCAGCCAAACTTTTGAAGAAGTGTAAAATAGCCTCAGAAATGATGGTAAGCTGAATACCAACAAGATCACATCCTGGAGCTGAATGATCTTGGTTTTTCAATATGTCTGTGCTGTTCCCACGTGTGTTGTGCACAAAGTGAATACCATCCAGGGATGTGTGGTGGATGCAGGAACATCTGCAAACATGCCAAAGAGGGAGTGGATTGCACTAGAACATGACAGATTGCATAAATTGGAAAATTTGCCAAATGATCTGTTGGGACCTGTTCACCATGGCATGTGACATCTGAAACCACTTGTCACTGTCAACAGGTCATCTGTGTCCACCCAAACCATTCACAACAGGTTGCATGAAGTCTGGCTGCATGCATAGCAACCAGCAATAGGGGCACCATTAACTATTTGATACAGAGCTGTATGCCTGGCATGGTATTGTCATCATTGTAATTGAATCACTGAATGGTATTGAATATTGTTTACAGATGAATCCTGCTTATGTCTGTGGAGGTGTGTAGCAGTATCCAAGGAAATGCCCTTTTTGCTGAGTATCACACTGACCCCATACTGAGCATCATGTTCAATCAGCAGAAAGCCCTGGTGCACATTTCTGGTACTCTAACAGTGAACCAGTATGTCACACGAATTGTGGAGCCCATGGTTCAGCTACTAGTGCAGGCTGCACCTGACATAGTGTTCCAGCAGGATAATGCCCGACTACATGTCACATGGTGAGCTCTCACCATTGTGAATGGAATTCACATCCTTCCCTGGCTGGCAGCCTCATTCCCATTGAACACCTATGGGACCTCATCCAATATGAGGTGCATCAGAGACCACTGCCACATACTATAGATGATATTTGCACTGCAATGAACACAGCTTGGCAAGGGATACCTCAGGCAACAATTAATCCCTCATTTATAGTATGCCTTGCTGTATAGCAACCTGAATAGCTGCCTGTGGGGGCCATATTTGTTACTAAATAAATAGGTGTCCGTTGCATATCTTTGTTTTTGCTTTTAATCATTTGCATATCTCTGTCACATCTAATGGTCCTGCAATGTGCATGTGCTATTCCTTTGTAATGCTGCAATTTCACTTTTGAGGAGTATTATCCACTTGTCGAAAAGGAACAAACTGTATTATTATTTAAAATTTAACAAAGATATATCTTTAATTATAACATATTATAAATTGTAAAATATTGAAACTTACCCCTTATTACAACACCATTGTAAGAGTCTGTTCCAAATATCCTTTCAGCTTGACTTTCGTCTAATTTAATCTCTTTTGTTCTGATTAACACATTCTAGGAAAAATATGTATTGTTGATTTTAAATTGATACTTTATCTTGTAGTATTTTCAATTACAAAATTATATAACATTTATATTTCACTTTTTTCATAGTAGTTTTATATACAGTGGTACCTCAGGATACGAACGCCCCAGCATACAAAATTTTCAGGATACGACATGAAATTCGAACATATTTTTGCTCCACGATACGAACAAAAACTCATCATACGACATTACATTAGTTCGCAGCGCCATTTTTTATTCACTTCTGTTCATCGGTCTCGGTCCGCGCATTTGCTTCGTCATGGATGGATCTCGCTCGATAAAGGAAATCTCGAGATATTATTGAAAATGACTGATTTTATTAAAAAGAAACATCCCGAAAAGGTTCACATTGGCCGTATTGCCACTCGGAGTAATGAATTTGCCTAAGTCATTTTAGAAACAGTTTAAAAAGTAGGCAAAGCCAAACCTTTTCGGATAGATATTTTACCAAGTGATCTCTATCCAGTGAAAGTGCTGGTGAAAGTGAAGGAAAGAAAGCAAAAAAGCAGTGAATAAAAAATTTAAAAAAAAAATATGAAACAGAAAAGATTAAAAAATTAGTGTTAACTTACATAATATAATGTAACAACAACTTAAGTTTTAGTGTCATTTCCCTTCTCCTTCTCTTCCACGCACCAGTTTACACCTCCACCGTCGTCTATCCTCAAAGGTAAAGTGCAAATAAAACTACATTTTTTTTTTCAATTATTATTCTATTATGGTTATTTATACATTTACAACTACAAAATGCATTTTTCAGTGTTTTCCTTACTATAGTTATTTTTTTTTAAATATACAACTTAGCTTTAATTTGAGTGTGTTTTTCGTGTTGGAATGAATTATTTGGTTTTATGTATAATCGTATGGGGAAAAATGATTCACCTTACGACATTTTCATGATACGATCTCAGTTTCGGAACGGATTCATTTTGTATCCTGAGGTACCACTATATTGCCAATTAATAACTTTGATTTACTTTTCTTATGAAATAATTAAAATAATATTTATTTAATTTTCTATATTTACAGAAACAAAAATATATGAAAAACAAACTTACCGATGTTTTATTTAATTCTCTTATATATGAAAGTGCTCGTTTCTGCGCTTGTCCATCAGGAAAGAATACTACTAGACAATTCTATAAAAAGCAAAATTTTTAATAATTATATTCAATAAACATATTTTAACAATTTTAAATTAATTAATATTTGGTTATTAAGTATAAAAATACCAAATTATTATGTTAATTAATAATTAAAAAAAACCATATTTAAAAAATGATTTATTTAAACAATATAATTGATTTGAAAAATTTTTTCTATCAATTTTCTAATGAATAAATGCCATGTTTTCTTTAAATTTCTAGTTTTAAAAAATGAATTCATTGATGACAATTCTAGAAAGTAAAAATGGTTGCATCATACTGATGTTTATGAAGTTTCTTTATTTGTTTTTGAAATGTATGCAACCAAGCATTATCATGAAGACAGGTGCATGCTGACATACAAATTCCAGATGTTGGATTTTCAACTTTTCATGAATATGTTCAATCCATTAACAGTATCTTTTTATGTTAATGATAAGGACATATTAAAAAGATTAATGAATCAAACCATTTATACAGGGGCAGATCTAGGTTTTTTGGGCCTAGGGCTTATTGAAATCCAATGAAGCTCCATTTACAATAAAACAAATAATACTATAAATTAACATTATTATTATTTATTAATATTAACTATGTTTTACTATACGTTAAGTGCTCATTGTTAATGAAAAAGTATTAAAAATTTATGATGATAATTCAATTTTTGTGTGCCCTTGACACTTGGGAGCCCAGGGCTTAAGCCCTATTAGTTCTTGTGTAGATCCGTCCCTGCATTTATATTCTGTCATACTGACAACATTATTTTTAATGATGAAGAAAAAGTTTGAGAATGTGGCTTGAAGTTGCATTTTCATTGAACTACTGAACAGATTATTTGTGACTGCTGTACTGTATCCATGTTTTTATTTTTTTCACAAACAATTTTATACATAAATAAAAACATAACATAAAGTCTTCATACAAAGTTTGAAATTAAAAACTTTACAGAAATAAACTTGCCAACATTTTATTTTTGCAAAAACCTGACCATTTCATATGAATCAATTTAATAGATGTTAATGATCAAAGTTCAGGATATTATGTCATGAAATACAATAACATCATTTATCATGTTATAACAGTTATGTAAAATTTTCTATTGAATTAGAATGGAAGAATTGCACATTTTTCTGGAATTCAACTGAATAATTTAATTTGTTCAACACTATAAACTATTCAACACTATAAAATTCAATTATTTATATTCCCCACTTAAGTTCTAAAAATTAATACAATTTCATAAGTAATCAAATTTTATATAAATTTTTCCTTATGAGGGACTTAAAACTGAAATATTTTATAATGTACAATCAGACATTTCAACTGATGTATTGATTTTATCTTTCTGTTTGATGTGATTGACTTAAATAGGAGTTACTTCAATAGTTTCCAATATGGATTAGTTTAAAATTATTTAAGATACTACAATTAATTAAAATATAATAGGAATTATCATAGATGCCAACACACTAATAACTTAATACTCATACAATGAATATTGAGAATATTGAAATGAAAATTTAATTGGATTTCATTGCTAAAATTTTATAGAACTGAATTGAAACCAATGACTCATATGCAAAAACAAATACTGAATCTTGCCTATAAATTATACATTATAGTTTAGAAAAATTATATTGTCTTAGTATAATTTATCATATTTTTTACATAAGTCCTAGATTTACAAATGAGAATGATCCAATTTTACTTAATTATAATTCTAATTTGATTATTATTTCTTGTGATAATGTGCATTAAACATATATCAAGTTTAATTAAAATGCCTCAATGTCCTTTTTTTTTCCTTATTAATATGTAAAGTTTAATCAATTTTACAAAGTAGATTTCTATCAAAGACATTATATTAATAAATCAAAAATGTAATTAAAATTTAAGAAATTATTAATCTTATATTAATATACCTCATCAGTTATTTTACACTCTCCTATATTATTTGTTTGTGGTACTACACTCAGATGTGGAGCCATGCTAATTTGAACACTTGAAAGTTCCTCTGATGATGGGAGGGGAAAAAATTCTTCTATTTTTCTGTTCTGAATTAAATATAATAAAACATTATAAATAACCATGTATAAATACTACATGAAGAAAATTTTTAGATCAATAATTATTTAAATTATATTAAGTTCAATATATATATTTATGTATAAAATCAATTTAAAAAACCCAGCAATGAGTTGCTGAACTTTCTTATGGCAACATTAAAATTTTGGTGATGTCCTCTGTTATGGTATTTTATTAAAAAACTTTTTATATTTTTAATTATTATAAAATGGCAAAAAGTTTAATTTTGAGGGTATAGATGAATTTTAGAAGAAATTGTAAATGCTAATAATGAGTAAAATTATCATTAAGTCTGACCCTACTTGAGATACGATACGACCTCCGTTATCTCCCCATTCCTTCAACCTTTAACCACCATAATTTAATAGCATCAATCCCCCTAATACACAAACCTCCCTGCAAAATTTCAGAAATTTTCAACAAAAAGCAAAGGAATTATTAAGCTTCAAAGAGGGTGAACAAAATTGTGCCTCCATACACACACAAACATACATACATACAGAAAGCACCCCCAAATTTTTTTTGCATTTCTTGACATTTCAAGGTCCTGAGTTCAAAAATGTAAAAATCTTGGGAGGTGATTTTTTGACCAATTGCCATACTTTCCCTCTTCTATATATAACAGAACTGGGAAAGTAAAATTAAGTTATCTGCAAAATTTAAATTTTAATACAAATAATTTATAGTAATTCAGGACAAGAATAAATATAAAATAACAGATAATATAACAAAAATTCACTATACCTTTAAAATGCAGTCTAGTTTACATCTGTCTAGACAGATGTAAACTAGACTGCATTTTAAAGGTATAGTGAATTTTTGTTAAATAGTAATGCAGTTAGAGATAGAATGAATAGAATAACAGATAATATATATTCATAATTATAACATATAATATATAACAGATAATATACAAATAATATTCATAAACTGAAATAATTTAAATTCTTACCTTTGGTAAAAGATTCCAATTTTCTTCTACTTCAGTAGGAGTAAAGTCATGTATATTATTCCAATTATTGTTGAATGTACTAAGGGAAGCTTTTTTGAATTGCTCTGCATAAAGTAAAACCAAAATTTTAAAATATGTTATAATTCAGTTAGATTTTTTGATGTGGAAATGTTTATTATAAATTTAGAAGAGAAAGACAAAGTCAATCATACAAGAAGAATTAATATTTTTATCAGAATTCTGAGAGTTCAGAGTTTCAAATATTTTAATGTTTGCACAAACTCATCAAATTTCCAATAATATTTTTCATTTCCACAATGTGGAACATTTTCTTAAACTTATTTAAAACCCAATGATGGCCTATAGCAGAGATGAGCAACCTGTGGTCCACATCACACAAAATATTAATAAATATATCAATTCTCCAATTTAAGAAAGTATGTAGCAAAAATTCTATCATTCTTTTCTACAACTTAGTGAGTGAAAATTTTGTAAAAAGTAAAATAAGAAATCAGCTAACAGACACTTCAAAACCAATTAAAACTAGCAGTGACTAATATTTCACCAAGTACTTTGGTTGGTTGCTCGGTTGGTTTGTTAAGGATTTTGGAACAAGAGCTATTTAGGCTAAGCTGTGCCATGTCAAGAGATAAACTATAAATAAAATTCTATGAAATATTATATACAAACTCAATAACAATAATAAAAACAACAAACAAATAAAGGAAGCAACAACAAAGTATTTACAAATAGAATAATCAGATCTCTTTGTACATATTAGTGATTTTCAGAAAGTCCAATAGTATGTCAAGATTTGGTCTCTGGACCAGAATTCCCGACAAATTTGTATTTTTAAAATGCTGATGATGACTCATTTCAAATACAGAGCAACTGCACAGTGTATGTTTAACACTTAAAGTACAATTGCAGTGCTGGCATACCGGTTGGTCTTTGCCCTTCAAAATGTATTGACAAGTCAGATGTCCGATTCTCAAATGAGTAAGAATGACCACTGATCTCCTGTCATAAACCTCATTAGGTGTCCAGTTCTCTATCAAAGGCTTGATCTTATACAGTTTATTGTGGACTTGTTCATTCCACATGTTCTGCCATATCTCTGCCAGTCATTTTTTAATGACCAACTTCAGATTTATTCTTTCTATTTGATCTAATTATAGATCAAATAAAAAGAATTATGATTCTATCCAAATTTAAAATTGGAATTTCTATTCTAAATAAAAATTTCAAAAATATAGAAATATGCAGATCATATCCTGGTTTTTAAATTCTTAAATTTATAATCACAACATACTACTATCTTCAGCAAAATAAATATATAGAAAAATGATAACTTGACTATTTATATTATAAATTTTATCTAGTCTAAAAGTGCTTTTAGCCAATAACAGAATGTACTGTACTAATTAATACATACTGCTAATCTTTAATATCAAACCTTGAATATTTGCAAAAATCATAACTTGTAAAATTATTTTGAAAGAAATAAAATAGTACTATCTCCATAATATTACAACAAATTTTTTAATAATTTGTAACGTTTGAAAAAAAAACTGATTGAAAGTGACTTTTAAATAAAATACTAGATCTAAATTTTCATTATGAGAAAAATAAGCAGTCTTCAATGTCTACTGCATTTAAATTTGAATCTGAATTGTTGTTATTCCATTTCTGTTCCATTTGACTGATGAAGATTATATGACAATTATTAAAAGTATTTGAGATTAAAATGTAGTTGTTTGAGTCAATTCTGTTAACATTGAAGTGTGAAAAGACAGCTTGAAAATATTTATTTTAACTCAAAATACAATAACTTTAATTGAAACTACAATTACAATAAGTAAAATTTTTTAAACATTTTTTAACTTGAATGTTTTCAAACATGCAGATTATAACAACAATATCAAGAAGGCAATAAGCATATTATTATTATCTAACTATATTATTATCAATTTTTATCTGGTATTTTGAATTGAAAAAAAATTAAGTGTAATTTAAAATATGCCATTACAAAATTATTATTGTTTATCTTTTGAAATAAAATATATCTTACCATCTAATTCTTTATAATGAAAACAGAAACAACCAAATCGCATTTCTGTACACGATTCAATTATTGGCTGTGTAGAGCAACAGAGAAATACATCAAGATCTTTACAATCTCTAGCACGGAATTGCTGGCAAGCAATAACAAATCTACATTCATGACAGTCCCTCAGAAATACACTATAAATAAAACATTTCCACATATGAATTTAATAAAAATATAATTATTATAATATAAGCATATTTTAATATTATTTTTAATGTCATGCATTATGTCAGCATTACATTATACAGGACAGAACAGAAACATCTCAACAGTTTTCAAAATAAAATAAAGAAGCATTACTTTGTACTAATGAACTTTTAATGGTGTACTTATAATGTATTGATATAAAGAAAGAAGATTTATCTTGAATAGAAAATCAGTAGCTCTTACAACTGTTACATTTACTTAAAAATTATCTTTTATATGGTCTCCACTACACCACACACATTGCTGGAATTGATTTCAGAATCTAAACATTACTTGCCATAGTATATCCTGTGGTCTGTTTTCAATTTCTTGTGTTATGGATTAATTGAGATCCTTCAATGTGAATGGGTTTAAAGTGTACACATCATTTAACTAACATTGTAGCAAAAAGTCTGGAGAGATGTCACAAGAATAAAATGGGCAATTCAAATCTTTAAATCATGAAATGATGTGCTCATCAAACAAGTTACAGACAGCAACCATACTCACATATGCTGTAGTCCTGTCTTACTGGAACCGTAAGTTCTCTTGATTAGATATAGCATTGATCTTTGGGCAAAGAAGTTGTTTATCATGTCTGTATAGCAATCAGCCTTGCTGTCATATATTCCTATTGTGATTTTCAAAGAAATAAGAACTAATTTTGCAGGATGATGAGAAAGTATACCAAACTGTTAACCTCAAACTATGCAAAACTGCTGATGTAAATCAGAGATTCATAACTGCTAAATAGCAGAAATTCTGCTTTTTAACTGCATAATCAAGATGAAAATAATCATCATCAGAATAAACTGTGAGGTTCCTAAAGTCAAATTGAAATTTTGATTAAGTATAAAAATTCCTAAGATGAGAAATTTTGGAGGTCAAATTGAATCAAGAGCTTATGTTGGTAATGTAGACTAGATAGAAAGGAAAACTACGAGGGTCGTTCAATAAGTCCTTAGAAAAAGATAGAAAAACAAATTATTTTAGGTAGATTTTTTTTTTATTTTTCAACATAATCTCCTTTAAGCTCTATACACTTTTCCAAGCGTTTCTCCAACTTTTTTAAGCCATCTAAAAAGTAAGATTTCGGAAGGTCCTCAAAATAGGCATTTGTTTGGGCAATGACCATCTCGTTTGACGTGAATCGTTGTCCACCAAGCCATTTTTTTAAATTTGGAAATAAAAAAAAGTCACTGGGGGCCAAATCCGGTGAATACGGTGGATGTGGTAATAATTCAAACTTTAATTCCGTGATTTTGGCCATCGAAACTGCACAGGTGTGCACCCGTGCATTGTCTTGATGGAAGAGGATCTTTTTCTTTTTCAAATGAGGACGTTTTTCCTTGATTTCTTCGCTCAACCGGTGCAATAATGATGCATAATACTCTCCAGTTATTGTTTTTCCTTTTTCCAAGTAATCGGTGTAGATGATTCCGCGTGTATCCCAAAAAACCGTGGCCATCACCTTCCCGGCCGATTTCACTGTCTTCGCCTTCTTTGGAGCCCTTTCGCCTTCAAAAACCCACTGTTTTGACTGTTCTTTGGTCTCTGGAGTATAATAGTGTATCCATGTTTCGTCCACAGTTATGTATCGACGCAGAAACTCGTCAGGATTGCGACGAAAAAGTGCCAAAATTGCCTCAGAGTCGACCACACGATTACGTTTATTCTCCACTGAGAGCAAACGCGGCACCCATCTTGCCGAGATTTTTTTCACACCCAATTTTTCGTGCAAAATTGAAAACACTGTACCTTGTGATATGCCTGTGGCCTCAACTATTTCACGCACTTTGATTCGTCGATCACTCAAAACCATATCGTGGATTTTGTCAATCATTTCGGGAGTAGTCACTTCCACTGGACGTCCCGAACGATGTTCATCTTTTGTGGATGTACGACCACGTTTGAACTCATTTACCCAATTGTAAACAGTTGCAAACACAGGAGCAGATGTGCCATGAACTTCATCCAACTCAGCTTTGATCTCTTTTGGTGTTAAGCCTTTTAAATATAAGTGTTTAATCACCGCTCGAAACTCACTTTTTTCCATTTTTCTAAATAAACAAAAGTTTCTTGCTTCAATTGACAATAAAAATTAAACCATATGATGGATATGACTGAGATTTTCACAACTGTCTAGTGAGACATCATGCTTACAAAAAACGTGCCATTTTTGAGGCTACGAGCGCCATCTATTGGATTTTCTAAGGACTTATTGAATGACCCTCGTATATATTTGTTTTAAAACAAATGAGATGTGGTGATGAACGACGGAAAGGAATGTGGATGGAGAAAGAGGGAGCTTCGTCAGGGTGCTCGTATGCAAGTGCCAGGGCGTAAACAATCAAAGAAATGGGGGGCTAATGACCAAAAGGACACCTGTTAGGTCATGTAAGCCATAGACCATTTGGGGGCGTAAATGGACACAAAACATCTGGCAAGTCAGCTAAGACAAATGTCCGAGAAAGACTATAATGGAGTAAATTACCAGTGCAGACTTCAAAGCTCCATCAACACCTCTCAAATCTTTCCTGTGACCCGAATTGGTCTCGATTTTGCCTGGAGACAGAAGAATGACCAATTGGGGTGAGGGAGAAGGGACACAGGACCAATCAAAAGAGTGAAATTCGAGGGGAAATCACACAAAATCTCTGAATCACAAGGTCGAAGAGAGTTCTCCTCCAGCCAAGTGTGCTCGTAAGTGACCCAGGAATCCAGTCCATCCTTTTGCATCATGCAACGAAGTCTCCACACTTGTTCTACGAATCCACATCTACTAGTGCCTCAGGGCCACCTCAAGTGTCACACCTTGTTTACCATCCGATGCCTGGAACTTCCCCAACACAAGTCGATCTAGATCACATTGCAATTCTGATAGTATGCAAGTTAATTTTTTTTATGTTAAAATAAACAGTTCTAGTAAGACACTTGTCATCTTTGCCTCTACACCACCACCCACATATAATCAGATCCTAGGCTTTTCCTGATTTGCAATTAACTTATTGCCCCTAAAAGTCAGCATCTTACAAAACCAAATTGACCAATATTTTAGAGTTGTTTTGCAACAGATTTAGCAAGGCTGTACAGCTTTCAACTCTGTTGTTTATGCCCATTGTTAGTGATTGTAAGATCTAAATTTTGTAGGAATGGAAATGTAACTCTGCACAATGAAAACACTTCTTGACAGTTCTGTCACAACATGCTTCCTAATGGATCTCCTTGGACTTTGAGTGAATGCATTTAGCAGTATTTTCCTTTGTATGAATAGCTCTACATCAACCTAGTGGGTTTGTGTCAACAGTAGAAACAGAACCTTCATCTTAAAACTTAAAACTATTCTTATAAGAGTATCTAAGGTCATCTTATCAATTGAACTATCTATGAAATTCTTGCTGAGTAGTCATTGCAGACTTCATTAGATTAAATAACTCAGTAACAGTTGAATTATTTAATATAATACAGAATGTATTAGATTAAGTCATGCAATAGCAACACAGTCATGTATAGATCAATGCACCATGGCAAACTAAACTCCAAGATGGAGGTTATCGTGTATTATCATGCAGGGCATGTAAACTTATAATGCCAGAAATGTCCATTTCAAAACAGTTGTTTCTGCTAAATCCCATATATAATACCATCATTTCTGAATCTATTCAAATAAATATGTAAAATTTTCTGTTTGATATCTAATTAAAAATTTCCAAAAGTTACAATAATTATTATATGTACTTAATACAATTTGATCAAAACTTTACATATATCCTTCATTATATGAAATATATCTTTATTAAAAATAGACTTAAATACAAATTTTAATATCAAATTGTATAAATAACATATTATGTTATCAAATTAAACATATTAAGTAGATTACTACTTAAAAAGTAAAAATAATTAATAATAGAGGATGTACACAAATTATTGGACAATTTTGTTACATCTTAGGTGAGTCAGAAATATCCCAGTATCATAAAATTCCTGTCTATTGTACACCATGAACGTATGTTTGGAATAGCTCTATTGCTACTGCCATCAGATGAGAAAAGTGCACATCAATGATGGGAAAAATGGCTGCCATAACTAACTGACTATAGTTAGCGTGTCCTAGAATATGCATGAAGTAACAGTGTTATGATTCAATGTTCCAGTTGCAATTAGGACATTGCAACTGGAACATCAATCCAAAGGTGATACAATTTTGCAACAGAGAATGCATCTGTCATCAAGGGAAAAGTTGTATGGGGAAGCCAAGTGTTACCAAAGAAATGGTCAACAGTGTGTGTGAAATTTTCATTTGAAACCCTAGGATATCTTGCACAATCAATGCATTTAATGTCAGTACAAAACTGCAAATATTCCTATTTGAAATAATGATAATATCATGTATTTCTTCTGTTCAATATTGGTGAAAATATGGTTTTAAAAAAATCAAAAAATTATACAGCATGTGCACAAATTATTGATGTTATTTAAATGACTTTTTAAACTATTTTATTATTATAAATTTTTGCTATTTTTATAGAAAGCTTTCAAATGTTTAATTGTCATTTAAGTCATAAATAATTAAATAATGTGTAATACTTTTAATAATGAATGCTAATGTAATAAATTAAACCACTGTTTTATATTTATAAATAAAATTTACATTGAAATTTTTTATAGATTACAGCATTCAGTATGTTAAAATGATTAGTCTTTAAGTTATAAATTTGATTAGTCCTAATTGAATTAAGATAGCATATTGCATCAACATGTTGTTTAATAATCTATATACAGTATATATATTTTCTATAAGATTTCACATTTCTGATATAAATACTTTCTGATTTATAAATATCAGAAAATACTGATAAATATATTTTTGAAAATTTTAATAATTATAGAATAATACTTTTAAAACATTAAAGTATAGCATCAATTTTTTCAAATTTATCACTTTTCAAAAATTTATCATTTATTCAGTTATTAAAAATGAAATTCAAAGAAAATTCTCAAAGAGTAAAATTTCATAATTCATTACACTGTATATGTTTTTAAATGTAAAAGAAATAAAAGAATAAAAGGAATTTCAAAAGCATTCTATATTTAAAAATGTTATAAATTTATCTAAAAAATAATTAAATTTACCTTCCTTTAGTTGGACCAATAAAAACATTGCAGTTTTTACAATCATCAACTGTTGCTGTGTTTATATGATCAAATATATAAATATTAGAATTCTGAAATTAGAAATAAAATCATTTTAAATGTGAAAATCATAAATTAATTTCATAAATAATTATTTAGTATAAAATTATAAAATGCAATCTGTTATAACATAATCTATGAAGTTTAAAGATTGTATAGTAGTTAATTAAAAAAAATAAAAACTGAACAATAAAACTTATATGTTCTTAATGAAAGATATTTGATTTTAATGATGTATAAAAATTTCAAAAAATTAAAGCAAATGCTTCTGATAATGCACACCACAGAGTTCGCAAAAAAAGTGCTTGAACAAAACTACAACCCGTTATGGGCTCAAACAACACTACTCAGATGCTGTAGCAACTGGAAACTCATCTTTATATGGGAATCTCTTCTCACAATAACCTCAGAACAATGCAACACTCCCACACTTGACCTTCCCAACATATGGGTCGCCCTATATAAACGGTTAAACAGTGATTTACATCAACTGTCACAACTTTGAATCCAATATAAGTCCTCTATATAATTAATATATTATTTGTAAAAATTTATTTTTCAATGTAGTGTTTTTGACTGATTTTATGAGGACATTAAAGAAATATATGCACTAAAAGGGGTTAGTAGTCCAAAAAATTTGGGAAACACTGATGTAGATGGTCAACTACAATTGTCTTAGAGAACAGTGTATCTATAATTCAAAAGAGTGATAATACAGGAAACAAACTTCAAATTTCTAGAAATACAATTTCCTTTTTCACCTTATAAATTAAGGTTATTACTAACAATAAACTGTAACAATTAAAGTTTATACTTATGTTTTAATTTTAAGTTTTTGTTGAAATCTAAAAATCTTTTTAGTGATATTATAATTTTCAAAATATATGAGTTTAATAAAAAAAAAAAATGAATTAATTTAATATACTGTACTTCACAGTTCTGTATTATAAACTGTTGTCCATTTACACTTCCTGGTAATTTTCCAGCAGTCTCTCCTTTTAAGTTTTCAATTGTATAATCTTTGGGATTGACTTTTTCTTTGTTATCCCTAGAAAAATTACATAAATAATACTTTAATTACATTTTATTATTTCCTTTTAACATTAAAACTGTTTATTTAAATAAAACAGAAATGTAAACACCACAATTTTACGTAAATTTGTAAACTTATTATTTAATTGAGATACTTTTTATTTGAAAGATAAATTACCATATTTTATGACATGTAAAGGCATGACTTTTGTCACAAAGAAAAAAAGCTCAAAAATTGTCCTGCAACTTATATGTGAAGTTACAGTCTCCTTTAGGCTAATGAATTTCCAAATGGCCTTCAATAAGCTATAAGTAATCTCTAACAGAATAGAGAGAGAACATAAAATTCTCATAATATTATGAGAATTTTTAGCCCAATTCTTAAGTAAAAATGTTATTGTTAAATTATTGGGTTTCAATTTTAATACTGAAGACCTATAAATTCTGACTAGCATCCATTTACTGTCTGTCTCTTTCCTTAATCTCGAGAATGGAGTTAGATAGATAAAAGTTGAGACCAGAAATGGAAAGCTTGAGAGCCAGAAGTCCTGATTAACTATATACAAACTTCCAGTTTGGAGTAGAAGTCATGTTATTTCAATTCAAAAATTTTCTCCAGAACAGATAAATGACTGATATGACTCTCTTGTTAACAGGAAAAGTATGATATACAGGGGGAAGACACTACTAAAATCAACAGAACTGTGCATTGCAATTCAAAAAATTGCAGTCCAGCATTGTGGTAATGTCACAATAAATAATTGTTCATTATTTTTATTATTCTTTGATATAATTAGCAGCTTTTACATGCATTCATATTGAATATTTCAAGAGTAAATTTTACTTATAAATGACTTCTTTTAAATTTCTCTTTTCCCTGACAAATAAAAGTGTGCATTCTAATTTTACTTTTTACAATCAAATTAAAGTTAAAAAAATTTGGGGAAGTGCCAAAGGATTTAAATACACTAAATACTATTTTCCTAAATACTCTGTGCTGAAATGGGAATACTTCTTATATGGCCATGTGTCCTATATGCTGTAAAATACAGTACTAAAAATCTTTTTTCCCCCCCCTTTCAAAATTTACAAAGAAAATCAATGTTATATTAATTGCAAAAAATTTCAAAACACAATGATTTAAAACGATCCCATGATCATTAAACTATTGTAAACAAAACAAATTCAAATTATAAAGTTCTCAGCTTTCTATATTTTTTGTAATGTGAATTAAATAATGCAATAATCAATATTCAGATATTTTTGTAGCTACTTATTTAAACTGTTGAGGAAAAATAATGAATAAAAACAGAATTTTTTAAAATAAAAATTTAAAAATCTAATAATTAGAATTGCACATTAAACAAAATTTAGGTAACAGCATTCATTTGAATAACTTTATCTTGAAATCTGTATTGATTGTCTCATTTATTTTTATTTTTGATCTCTAAGATTAATTATTTAAATTTAAATTGTCATATTTAATGGTTACTTCATTTTAAAAAAATTGATAACTGTCAATTTTTCAGTATATACTTAAAAAGATAGAACACTAATTCTTCAGTTCTAAGATGTGCTATGATTTTCAAATCAAATTTTAATATTTTTCTATGAAAGAGAAAATTTTAAAATAATAAATTTTATTAATGTTTGGGAGCTTTATTCCATGCTCTTCTGTGTACAGAAGAACATTTCATTTTAATGCTTTATCATAATGTTGTCATAAAGACATTTTAAATGTTCAATTGATTTGCCCTGATGTGACCTTTAAGTAGTAGAAGTAAAAGCATCTATTATTGGTGCATGTCTATTATATATATCTATCTATCTATCTATCTATCATCTATTACTGGTGCATAATGCACCAAGTAATCTACTCATAAAGAGTGCTGATTTTTATTTTGTTTCTAATACAATAATCAGCATTTATTTGTTCAAAATAGAGGTGTGTAAAGATACACCTTTATTTTGGAAAAATAGAAATGTTTAAAAATGTGCATCTTAGAATGAAGGAAATATGATAAAAATTTAATTTGAAGAAATATAACAAAATCAAAATTACTTTCCATTTTAAAAATATAATCAGTTCAATTTGACATATACATATTTAAAACATTATATTAAATATTGTTTTAGCTCTTCATATTCAAATAAACTAATAATTTTGGACACTAATATAAACTTAAACATATATCAGAAAACAAGCATAAAGTTTAAATTACTGTAAATGATAAAAGCAACTGATCTAAATATAAAAGTCATAATTATGTTTCAAATCCAATCATTATTAATTTGGACGTAACATAATAATAGATCTCTAATAAATTCAAGATAATTTGACTAGGATAAAATGCCATGAACATAAAATATTACATTACTACTACTATAACTTAGATTTGGTAAATGTTTTTCATATCAAGCCATTAAAATTTTAATAAAAAATAAATTTAAAAATTTATTAGTTTTTTACACTTTTATAAGATAAAATATTAGGTTGATGGTTTAAAGCAAAGCAAGGCAGGACAATTTGTCAAGGAAAAGTATGCCTCCCAGGAGGGCTTTCTACAGGAAATTGGCCCGTATTTATGTGTTATATAATTGAAGAAAACCAAACAACTTCACAAACCCACAACCTACTACCAGTATTCAGTGATTTTATCTATTTGGCCAGTGGTGGGTGCACACAAAATATCAACAAACAGCACATTAAAACGAAATAATTTAAAATTATTATTTAAAAGAAATAAAATAATCGATAGGTCTAATCAACTAATTTTTAAAAATATATAGTCGACCCCCTATAACACTGTTGATAATTCTGTTTTATATGAATTCCATGTTGTACGAATCACTTAGATTTTACAAATATGTGTGTCGGGCTGTGAACGACTCACGTATTTGTAAAATCTAAGTGATTCATACAACATGGAATTCATATAAAACAGAATTATCAACAGTGTTATAGGGGGGTCGACTGTATTTATTTTCTTCATTCTTTCAGATACAAAAAGTGTCTTTTCCTGTTACAAGGAGAGACAAAAAATTTACAAAAAGAAATGAAATAAACATTTTTATAAGGAATTGATAAGGCTTGTAAAAAATAATCATACACTTCATACAAATTAACTTTTAGTCATGTTAGTTAGACAAACAATTTCTATAAATTCTTACTTGAAAAAAAATCTATGAAATATCTACATTAATCTAAATACATTAATCATTATCACATGGAAAGTAATTTATTACATTCATTCAGGGAGCAATAATTTCTGAAAATACTAAACCAAACTATTGCCATAACTAATCAGGCTATTTTTTGCTACTATGAATAATTATAATAATTTAATATTTATTAAATAATTTTTAGAACAGTCTGGAAGAAAAGAATCGGCCTGAAGCAGAATTAGAACCACGTCTGCTTACCATATGGTGCGCTGCAAATTATGACAATAGTTTGGTTTAGTATCAATACATTTGGGCTTTGGGATGCTTATATATATAATTTCTGAAAAGTTAGAATCTATAATTATTTAAATTTTTTGAAAAAGTAATATAGTGATTGTTTAGCAAATATGGAAAATTTGTTTAACTAATTTCTTCATACAGATTCTTTTATTCATCTTAGTAATAAAATATCATAGATAGAATTTCTAATATATGATGATGATGATGAGCAAAAACAGGATTAACCAAATCTTCTTGATCTTTTAATGTAGAGCAAAAAAAAAAAATGCACTAAGATTGTAATCAATGCATTCTATTTACATTCAAAATTTTGACATCATTCAATTCTATTAATATATTCACAACCAAGGATCAAGAGTCAGAGTTAGAAGTTAACAAATTACCATTCACTTTACTTTTAGTATGTGAATGCTTATTAATTAACTTCTAATATAACTCTTGATCCTTGGCTATGAATACAAGCATAAATGTTTTCTGATAATCATTAGATGATTTTGTTTCCACAGTACCTATTGAACTATATACTTATCATCTTAATTACTTAATTATTAATATACAGTGGGTGATTGGTTAACGAACAAATCGGATAACAAACACTTTCGCGAAAGATTTTTATGATCGGATAACAAACACTTCACTGAACAAACACAAGAAGCAACATAAAATAATGAGTACCAATTGGTCTACTCCAGTGATTTTCAAACTTTTTCAATCCACCGCCCCCTTTGTTCCATAAAGTTATACCCAACGCTCCCTAACCCATTTTCCCTTGTGAGAGGAAGGATTGGAAATATTTTTAGGAAAAGTTTTCTACGAATCTCACACTTTGTGCCCTTACCGTACATTGTTCTCGACATCTGGAAACCATTAAACGCAATGTTTCCTCTTATCAGTTTAACAGAGGAAAAGGAACAGCTTTCAGTAACCCCAATTTTGCCTTTGGTCACCATTCAATACCCTGCCTCCAGCGCCTTCCTAGATTTACTCATCGCCCACAAGGGGGCATTATTGCCCACTTTGAGAAATGCTAGTCTACTCTTATCTTCGGGCAATAATTCAAAACTTTTCGGTGCGCGGGAGATGTCGACATCGACGTTCAACCCAGTATATACTGATCAGATAGTATTCCCCCAAACTTTGAAACTCTCCCTTGTAATTCCAGCCTTTTATATTTCTGATAGAAACAATTCTTTTACGTTTTCTTCTGAAAAAGTGGATTTATGCCGATACCTGCTATTAAAGATTTTTTGAAGAAGTGGGAGGATGTCAGAACAATGGTCTTAAAATGGAATCCAAACCAGGTTGAGGTTAATAGCTTAGGGATCTCTACAATTACAATGCGATTAATTACTTCTGAAAAATCATGAAGAAGACAAAAAAGCAATCGACATTGGACAGATTCTTTAATCCCCACAAACGGAAAAAACATGACTAATAAAAATGCAAGACCAAGTACAGTACATATGTATTTTTATTATTACATATGAATACACATAGTAAGAAAGTATATATTTTTTATTTTTTGGGAGTCTCCAGAACAAATTAATCAAA